TTCTGTGTAAAAACTAGAATGGACAGAATAGAGCACATACCTCCACAAAGGTTCAACAGTCAATTAATACAATAAAGCTGGACCAAAATTCACACATGCCAGATTTTTATCCATCAACATTCATGAATTATACCCAGGGAAAATAGTGAAATGTTTAAAAATGCCACATATGGCAAAGTTAAATAAAGTGAAAAAAACTTTCTTGGATCTGTCCCAATCAAGATCCACTCCTAAATTGAATGGGTTCTGACCATAGACTGTATATAAAGAGGTTCTGACCCATAACTCATACTTCCACCAAGTTGTTTCTATGTAATCTTACAAACACACCAACTAACCAACCAACAGACAGGGGTGAAAACATACCTTCCTTGGCAGTAGTAAAAAAGGGTAATTTGTCATGAAACCTATTCTTTTCTGTTTAAATTTACATTACTCTGCAGCAGGAATGTGTTGCATGAACGCAGATGGCTCACTTTCCTCTATTACTGCCCACTTTAGCCTCAGATTGATTGTTTTGAAAATTGTTTATTTTGTAATTCATACAGTCTTTTTAAGTAAAATCCTGTATACCTTGAAAATATGAGAGATGTATTATTTGCAAAGATAGATAAATTTATCTTAGTTCATTCTGCCCCAACCATGTTTTTACTTTGCATACTCCTCTGCTTACAATACAGATTATCACAAACATGTCAGTGTTAAAACCTTTATTTAGCTTGGCATATAAATCACATAAAGCACTTGTCAAATTCCCTTCTAATCTCACCTATATAATCTCCACATGATCGTTAATCTGCATATTAAAATGTTGAAAAGAAAAAAAGTCAGTGCTGTTGATTGCAGCCAGTTCAGTCGATCTCACGACAGTTCTGGAAAAAGTATAGAAAGGATGAGTCAGTATCAGGACTTCCTTTCTTATTATAAAATGACTGAGGGAGTAATTAAGAGTGCAAACCAACTAGAGCTGGGAAATAAAACAATATCAAGAATTACAGCAATATGATTTTCATCAATAGCAATATAACAAAATCCAATATACATCGATATAAGCTTATGCACAGTGTAAACACAGCGAGGAGGTATAACACATAATAATCTGACTTGAATTTTGTTTTTGTTGTTTATCAAGTGTTTGTCTTTAAAACCACAACTTTCACTTAGCAGCAGAAATCAGTCTTTAAACTTAAAACGTGAAATGATCATTGTCAATATTATATTTGTTTAAATTATTATTATTATTTGTATTTTGACATCATTCTTGGCCACATCATTCAGCACTAAAACAAACAGATTTACATGTAAGATGTGATGTCATTACCTGTAGCCTGATGAGTGACCTGTACTCCTCAGGATGTGCTGCACTCATTGTTGTTGTGTAGATGGTAATTCTGGGAGATAGATGCATACACTTTATTAACACAAGCTATGTAAAGGTTTCTTATAATAACTGTGAATGAAATAATATTTTAAACACCCTGACTGAAACTCTATTGCCGTTCAATATGCAACCTCCTATGTGCTGAACTATGGCGTCAAACAAAAGACTATTGACTATTGGATGATTGGCGAGGGGGAGGGGAAGGGATCTGAAAATGGTGTACACAGTGCTCCATCTCAGCAACATGAACAGTCATGTGATTCTGTGAGCAAAAACAAATGACAACATCAACAGATAACTTCCGTCTTAAAAGGACAGCACTTACCCATTACACACTGGAGACAGGGACAAAACCTAGTGGGCGACACAAATCCACATTGTCTCTTTTTTCTCTTATTATAAAATAAAGTGCACTACTGATTATCTCCTAGTGTCACGTGAACTTTGGTCCACACTAACCTGATAAAGTGTATCCCGGTTTATGTGATCCTGTCCAGTAGCGTTCAGTGCTTTGTTGGCGACCTCTCTGAGAGATAAACACACAGAAGCAGTTTTATAACAAGTAACAACACTGGATGTGTTCCTCATGTGACGTGACTCACCTTCGATGATCCCTGGCCGGGGGAGGAAGCCAGTGGTCAAAGTTTGTCTCCACTCTGAACCATCTAAAACAGGAACACAACACCAGATGAGAACCAAAAAATAAGTCGAGCTAGGGGTATAGGATAACATTTGTCATCATCCTACCTGGTTTATCTGCAATGAAGATTTTATTGTCAACCTTTGTCATTAAATAAAACCAAATTGCTTTATTACCTTTGCGTATGTGGTTTAAGTTTGAATGCTTAATTTACTGCTGTTATTTTTTCATACATTGCATGTCAGCCATTTCATCGATATTTTAAGAAACTGAAACAATTGTCAAGCGTGCCAGGCCAGTAGGTGGCGATAAAGTCTACATCAACAATCCATCAAATACCAAAGAACAGCGCTAAGGTAATGTGGTATTGACTTGTAATTAGACCTAGGAGTGCTAACCAAATGTAGAGAAACCAGTATATAGCTGCCATTGTTGTTGTTGTTTCTGGCACGTTCTGGCTCATTTTTACAAACAGTGGGCGTGAAGTAAGATGTGAGGTCATCTTCCAAAACGCTGCATGTTACATGGATACACAGGAACCAACATTTTTGGAAAATCTGCATTTTGGAAGGCGTTAGTAAAAATCTCTGTTGTAGTAACTTAAGATTGTGAAATATATGCAATAGTGTGGACAGGACATAAGACTCCACTCAGATATCTGTACTTTGCCTACCTCCCATATAGGGGATCCAGGGGCCAGATATCAGCAGGGCCCATCCGATCTCTGGTGATGACGACACCTTCCTTAGCTCGCACCCCGCCCACGATGTAGTACACCCCAGTGATGATGGGGATTTTAGAAAGAAGCATCACTGCATTTTGAAAGTCCTCTGCTGCCTCCAGTGTCTGCATGGGTCACAAACACAATTAATTCACCTCGCTAATACAGAAAACTTCCTCATTACGCTAATAACCAATAACACACTCACCTCCCTTACCAACCAGCTGACTGGGGACCACCCCAAGAGGAAAGCAGATACAAAATTCTTCCACCAGTTCAACAAGTGTTCAGTGCCTGCACATCACAAATAAAACAATGCAAACAAAAAGAAGAGGAGAACTATTGGACAAACATGACTGCTGAGAGGAGGTGTGGTCTCACCTCGCTGATCACCGGAGACAGTAAACTTGTTAGGACTCTGTCCCGTCCACAGTCCGACATAACCCGCAAAAGATGTTCCACGGTACATCACCTGAAGAAAATTTGTATTTATCGTTTTCTGGACATCACATCATCATGCAAAAACGTCCACCTGCTAAAGTTGACAGTCTGATCCTCCTCAGCTATTTTAGTTTGACAGGGTATGCGTTGTTAAAGGTTCAGTGTGTAGAATTATTAGGATTATTTTATATTCAGTTTCTGCCAGATCCCTTTAACCTAAACCTTACACACTGGACCTTTAAATGTTTGGAATAAATACTATACCTCTCCATTCTTAAGGAAAACTACATTGACGGTCAGATTCTTTAGAATGGGATGTGGATAGTCGAGATTCCTGCCGTGGTAAATGTTCCCACTTTTGTCCTGAGCGATGATGCTGGTGCAAAATCTAGGGGGCGCACATGAGTTTTGTTTGCATGAGTGGCCTTTCGCCTCAATCCTGCACACTCAGACAATTCTGCGTGGTGCTTGTGATTCAGCTGTGAAGGCTGAGGTCGTTTCAACGTCATACGTACGCGGATATTTCATAGGCAAAGTTGAGGATGATGACGTCTGAGAGACTTCCCCCGAAGTGTGAGGCCATGCCGCGGATCTCTCCGGCGTAAGGCTGAGGGACGTACCTCTCCAAGGCCGACACCACAGGGGCAATCGCGTGATGCACCCATTTTGGAATGGTAGAGCTTACAAAAAATAAATATACATATGAATGACTGAAAACAGATAAACAAATAAATAATTAAAACATCATTGTATAATCACTGTCAGCAAAGGTATAATGTATAATTGCATTAGACGTTAGTTAACCAAATGATTAAAGCCTGGTATATTTAAAATTAAAATGTTATCATTTTAAACCCACCTCACATCAGAACTGTTTTTTAAGTGTTATCAATACTGTGCATTTTATATTTATAGTTATTAGCTTGTATTTGTTTCCTCTGGGTTAGAACCTGTGTTAAATGTCTTTGAGCAGTGTTAAAAGCACTATATATTAATAATGATGGAGGGGTGGGTGAAGTGTTTAAGTCCACAAAACACTTTTGAAGTTTCAGAGGTAAACAGTGTTAAATCCAAATCCAATACAACTGAAGTAAATAGTGGCCGATCCTTCAAACAGAAAAACAACAGACAAAGAACACAAAATGCCTCCATACTGCCCCTGTGGTGTCAATTAAGTGTCTGTAGGCCTGGACATTCAAATTCGACTCAACACGAGGACATTTACACAAGTTTTTAGCCTTAAACATCGATATTTAGGCTAAAAACATGGTGTGAATGATGAGCTCACATACATTTGGATGACACTACAGGTGCAGTATGGAGGCAATTAATGTTTTTTTTTGCTGTTGTTTATCCATTTGTGGGTGAACTGTCCCTTAAAGTTAATGTTTAGCGTGAAAGCTTTTTAACAGAATGTTCAGATATAGGTTTCTTCCCCTGGTGCTTAATCCTCCCTCACTGTAATTACTGATTGACAAAGTTATAGAAAATTAAACTTCACTGTTAGTTACTGTCGAACTGTCACAATGTTTATATTTAATTATTGACAGAGTTTTATTCCCATTAGCCTATTCATAAATAACTTCATTATTCTGTATATACTACACATCAGCTATACACACACGACAAAGTACACACATCTGTACATCAGATACGTCATTACAGTGCAATAGAGTACTCCAATATTAAAAACGTATTGCTCTGATTTCTTCTGCATATCAAACTTCTGGTTGTGTCAGAGGAGGAGCAGCAGAACTCACTCGATCACCTGAGCTCCAGCTTCCTTCAGGAAGTCTATGTCGAACACAGAGAGCAGAGGCTTCCAGCGCACCTCTGGATCTTCATCCAGGCTGATGTTCACGGTGGGAGGAGCGAGCTCTGCCCGGCACAGCACCGCCAGCACGGGCACGAGTCCGAGCAGCCGCACCGCACACCGGACCATTATCCCCGCACTGAGTCCCGCACTCTTTGTGTACAGTCTACGGTCCCGCAGCCTGAACCACTGAGTGAGCGGAGGGCTGAACTCAAGGCACGAGATCGGGGCAACTTCCGCTCACGGAATTTCAGAATAAAGGCTGTGACTCGTAGCTGGTGCAAACAAGTTATTCAGCACAGACTTGTCTATTTTATGGAGAATTCAATGTTTGTAAGTGGATGATTGTGAGAGAAGATTTTCTTTTCCCGAAATACTTTGTCAAAATCCTTTTTAAAAATTAAATTACAACTCAGTCCTCGTAATATTACTACTTTACAATTTGGACTTTGTTACAACTTTTATTTTTGTAATATTATGACTTCATTATCATATGAATCATATATTACGAATTTATTCCAGTAATATTGCAACTGAATTATCATAATATTAATACTTTATTACGACTTTATTCTAGTAATATTGCAACTGAATTATCATAATATTCAGACTTTTTAACAATTTAGTTTTGGTAATAGTATGACTTTGTTACAACCCTATTCTTGTAATATTTCAAATTTACTATGACTTTAGATAATTATATATAACTCACAATATTCTGAATTTATTGTGAGTGTATTTTCATAATGTTACAACTTTATTCCAACTTTGTTCTTGCAATATTACGTCTTTCTCATTCAATTTCGGCTTTATTCTCAACTACAACAATTCTTGACAACTACTTCATCCTCAAATACCACATGATTCTTAATCACGTCTTTATTCTGTATTATGAATTTATTCTTTATCACGATTTTATTCTTCACTACGACTTGATTCTTAGTCACGGCTTTATTTTAATCACGACTATGACTTTATTCCCCTAATACTTGGACTTCATTCTCATTATTGACTTTCTTCTCATCATTCCTGTAATATCATGACTTTTTCTCCTTTAATTACGATTTTATTGTCAGTCCTGATACTCATGATAATGTGGTGCTGATGTACCAAACAATTGTGTATTTCATTATTTGTGTTTATTCACCTTTATTAAACAGGCTGCTCCCCCTTCTAAAATGACACATTCCCTAAAATAATGTCATTATTCAAGTAATATTACAACTTAATTCTCCGGCAATTTACCATATAAGTGAAACTAATACGAAGTGTTTGATTAAGCAAATAAATGAATGAAGGCATAGAACACGATAGTTACATATACAGACATAGTAACCAGAGGGCACAGATTAAGAACGCAAAGATATCTGGCTGCAAAATCTTGGAAACCCCTCCCAGGATTTAGACCGACAGGTCACACATACGCAAATGTGAAACATGGGTCAAAGTACACTAAAGTTGAACTTCAAGCGATTTGCTACGCCATAGGAAGCTAATTGTTTATTCGCTTCCTCTCTAGCAAATTTGCATCTGTGTGACTGGGCCCTGAGGTGGGATCAGGCTCGTGACTTCATGTGGAGTTCAGCTTTGGATAACTTTGACCTGTGAAGCCCTGACAAGAGTCAGTCTAAAAGATCACAGAGGTGTCAAAAGACATCAGGCTATAAGTCAAAACACTGGGGAAGATGAAGAGGTCATAAACATAGGAACTATACTTAACAAAGTGCAGGAAAGCTGGACTCAAAGGAGTCATGACCAACTGATGATAAAGAGAAACTCAGAGACAACATATTAAAAAACTAGAGGAGACAACAGCTGTGTCTCAATTTAGGGGCTGCATCCTTCCCAGGACCTGGTCTACGCAGCAGTCATTAGCTGCACCCTTCATCGCCTGTGTAAACCACGTCAGCCGAACCGATGGGGGCAAAGAAACAAGTCAAGCCTCACCTGATACCCAAGGTCGGGCTGTGTTGTGCTGCATGTAAATAAAGCTTTGAATCAACATGTACCTTTTACATTTTTTTTTCTCTTTCCCCAATAAATTTAAAATTATGTCATTGATATAGTGTAGCCAACAGAATAACAATGACATGAATATATACAACATATAACATCAAGCATCACATGAATATATATATATATAGATATAGATATGCTGCATATCTTGTAAAATAAGAGGAATTTTGCTCAGTGTGCATTTAAATGACATAAACATCAGGCTGGTCTTTACATGGACAAATGACCTTTACTTCCTGAGTGCTGCCTGGATGAAGCCTGCTGGGTATTTGTGCCATCCCACCTACTGTGACAACTGCCAGCAGTTACAATTCAGTTGAGCAGTTATATTGCTGTTTAGAGTCAAGGTACTGGAGGTCAAAATGTTAAATCTTATATGTACAGTACTTTATGACAATATTTTGTTCTGTGTTTGTTTGTAATAAGTTCCTCTATATGATGCTGTATAATGAAATGCACTGCTCATCTGTTCATGGAGAGTTCTGTATTTTTTTGTAGGGCACAACATGACTTACAAGTTTATTACACTGCATGAATGTGTACATTCGCTGAAAGGCTTTTTTCAAATCAAAAAATCAAGGAATGCCTTTGTGACATAACCTGTGAACCTCTAACAAAAATGAACTGTGCTCTCTATCAAGCAAACCTGAAATGATTTTATCTTTGATATATTTGAGTATTGCAATTAAAACCCAAATCAATATTAATGTGACATTACTGGCTGAAAATATGATGTGAAAAAAAATAGATATATACATATATCTTATGTGATCTTAGTGAGATTCAAATATAGTCTCAGTTCTGTAGAGAGTGATGCAGTAATATGTGTTCACATATTGACGGGAGATTTCTGAATCAGTTTCCAATAAAGGTTTTCTTGTCGCCCCGTCCTCTGTGTGTGTGGACGAGTGGGTGTATTTCGAGCTTCCTCTTTAGGACACCATTTTCTTTGATGGGTGCTAATGAAGTATTTTGAGACTTATCAGAAATCAGCCTTCCGACCATGACAATTCTCACTGCTGCCTTGTTCACAGTGCACCCAATGTTCTCAGCCACAGTCACCATGGAGGCCAAGTCCATGCACATTAGTTCAACACTTATTCCAATTATGTCCTCTGTGACACCCACTTCATAGTTAGATATTTATTTGCCATCTAAATAACAAGCTTATTCTTTTTGGTGCTGTCACATTTCTGTGGTTTTTTATCTTCTTTCTATCTTTAACTCATGACAAAGTTTTCCACTGCGTGGTTTACACTGGTGTCACTGTTTTTTGCGTGTGTGAGCAGTGAACCTTCACATCCTGAAGCAGTGAAGCAGGCACATCCTGCCAGTTGGTAGAGGATACGCTCAGATGAGACTGTGAACCAAGTGCAGCTGAAGAAAACAAACAACATAAATGAAGCATCAGCTAACATGGTGAGAGTTTGGCAAGATAAGGATTCCTTCTACCTGTCCAGGAGGAACCCCACCTCTCACCCAGTGTCAGCAGGGATTGGCTGCAGTCCCCTTTGACCTCAGAAGGATTAGCTGGATGAAAGATTCTGTAAGAAATACAGAGACCAGTCATTTTTCAAGACATGGAAACATTTTCAGGAACTCACCATAGTGTCTGTGACCCTCAAGAAACAAACTGATGCTGGACGCAGCAGCCTCATCGTGTCAATGAACCTACTTTCAATTTTAGTCGCTTGGGGGCAGCAGAAACAAGCTGTAAACATAGCACTGACATATTTTTACCAGTGAACTTTGGGAGTTGATGAACTTTTTGGTAAAGAGTGACTTATATACATCAGACCAAAACAAGACACACTAGCACTCATTTGAAATGGTGATCATTTCCATCTATTCCAAAAATCCACCAACTCCCAGGAGAAACATCTGTCTCTGGAGCTGCTAAATGTTCACCTGCTGACACTGTCTGTTTGCTGTGTGGTATTGGGCAGGTAGTGTATATGCTGGGTTTATCATTCTTTTGTCAGCTGTCTGCTGCAGATGGAAACAAGACCAATAGATGTTTGTAGAGTTGCGAGCAGTCAAACTGAACAATGGAGCGAGCCTGAGGTGGTTGATTATACTATATGAGATTCTAGCCATACCTTCCCTTTCATATTATCCATCATGAATGTAATACAAAATGACTTCAAACCATCCAATACTCTGCTGCTAGACTCACCAGCCAAACTTAATCCAGAGACCACATCACACCTCTCCTCCAGCTTCACTGGCTTCAGATCTTCATTGTATTCAACACACAGGACAATGACAAAAACAACAATGAAGAATCATGATATTCTGATGAGGGCTTATACTAAAACTAAAGTGTAACTGACATTCTGAGTGGTGCTCTAATAAACCAGGCTCACTGGTGTGAAAACAGTAGCTGAGTGCAGTGTAATTCCACAAGATGGTGCCAGTGCAGCTTTTTTGCAGCTGCTCAGGACCGTGAGGCCTGAGAAATTAAAATCACAAGCTAATGTGTTGATATGACTTCACTGATCTGCAGATCAAATGACAAAATACTGTTGTTGATTGTAACAAAAGATAAAAACTGACATGTCCACATTTCCCACAGAGGCATGGTGTGGGGAGTGAGCAGTGACATATGCGTCTTATGTTCTCACAGTTACTACAACTACAGCATCGTAGCCCCCAGGAAAAATAAGCAGCCAAACAAGCAACAGCAGGTTGGCGGTGATTAAACATCTGTATTGTGAAATATTGACGTCAATCAAAGACGTACGGTCTTCGCTGCCACAACCTCAAATGGCATTTCTATCCACTGTGATGTTCTCAGGTTGCCATACATATTTCTGCTTCTACTCATCACACTTTAGATCACGGTGCAGTTGCTGTCACACCTTTATACGTACCATATAAACTGTATGAGAGGGAAATCACGAAATGAAGTGAATTTATTGATCATGTCTAGATTTGTAAAGATAGTCTATGTTTCACCTCATATTTTATTTGGCTCACAGGTCAGTTTTCATATTCGTGACGGTATGTAGTAAACAAAATCACAAACAATTATGTGTTGAGATAAACGTGACAGTGATAAAAGATAGTGGCACGGATTTATAAATGCTCACCACACATAACTCCTGGGAAACGCTCTCGAATTTGATATGTTTACAGTCTGTAATCCAAGACATGCTATTGATTTACAGAGGCTCTCTGGCCTTATGGGTT